TGTTAGACCTAATACCATAAAAACCCTAGAAGAAAACCTAGGTAATACCATTCAGGACATAGGCATGGGCAAGGACTTCATGTCTAAAACACCAAAAGCAATGGCAACAAAAGCCAAAATTGACAAATGGGATCTAATTAAACTAAAGAGCTTCTGCACAGCAAGAGAAACTACCATCAGAGTCAACAGGCAACCTACAGAATGGGAGAAAATTTTTGCAATCTACTCATCTGACAAAGGGCTAATATCCAGAACCTACAAAGAACTCAAACAAATTTACAAGAAAAAAACAAACAACCCCATCGAAAAGTGGGCAAAGGATATGAACAGACATTTCTCAAAAGAAGACATTCATACAGCCAACAGACACATGAAAAAATTCTCATCATCACTGGCCATCAGAGAAAAGCAAATCAAAACCACAATGAGATACCATCTCACACCAGTTAGAATGGCAATCATTAAAAAGTCAGGAAACAACAGGTGCTGGAGAGGATGTGGAGAAATAGGAACACTTTTACACTGTTGGTGGGATTGTAAACTAGTTCAACCATTATGGAAAACAGTATGGTGAGCAAGGTAAATTCTTAGGACCCAGCTGAGAGCTGTTAAATCAGACACTCCGGGGTGAAGCCCAGAAATCTGTGTTTTAACCAGCCCCTCCAGGTGCTTCTGATGAACACTGAAGTTTGAGAAGCTCTAGAATAGAATGAGCAAGGCCCAGTGACAGACCAGATCCTAATACAGAAGAGAATAAAGGTCTGGATTTGGAAAGTTGAGGAGAGCAGAAATGGAGAGAATCCTGAATCCTTGACGCACACGTGTGAGTGGGTAAGGGGTAAAAGAAGCCTTTTTCAACGAAGAAGGGAATAACAAATATGTGATTGCAAAATGGGAATGACTAACAAAGCTGACAACTTCAAAATATTCTTTCTTTGATGAATTTAAATGATAGAGACCTGATTTAACCTTCAAAGTGAAAGGTTATGCCAAATTTCCTGTATATGGAAAATCTGCATTTTGCCTAACCAAGACTTGAATAGGTAGGAAGTAAGTAGGTGCTTTAAATGAGATGACCAAAGGCAGAACAGACAAGTGGAAACTTCAGGCTAGGGGAAACGCTGGCAACTGCTTCTTTGATATGTGGCTCCAAATTGGGTGATTGGGTATAAACATGGTCATCTTTGGCACCTAAGTTCTCTAGCTTAGTTGTTCACTTAATTTTATACCCCACAAGCAAAACTACAGCTTTGAGATATAAAATAGAATTTTAAAACTTCAAATTGATATTTTTTCAAGACAAAGAAAAAACACTCAGGTTAAGAACTTCTGTTTCTATTTTAAAGTCCTGATATTATCAACAATTAACTTGGACTAACTTTTAAAAGATTAAATTACCGCAATTAAAAATCGGATTGGAACAACTATTGGGTATCTGCCTAAAGGAAAAGAAGTCAATATGTCAAAAAGACACCTGTTCACACAGGTTTATCGCAGCACAATTCATAATTGCAAAGATATGGAATCAACCTAAGTGCCTATCAACCGATGAATGGATAAAAAATGTGATACACACACACACACACACACACACACACACACACCATGGAGTACTACTCAGGCATAAAAAAGAATGAAACAATGTATTTTGCAGCAACTTAGATGGAACTGGAGGCTATTAGTCTAAGTGACATAAGTCAGGAATGGAAAAGCAAATATCACATGTACCTTTTTTTTTTGAGATGGAATCTCGCTCTGTTGCCCAGGCTGGAGTGCAGTGGTATGATCTCAGCTCACCACAACCCCCACCTCCCAGGTTCAAACGATTCTCCTGCCTCAGCCTCCCAAATAGCTGGGACTGCAGGTGTGCACCATCATACCCAGCTAATTTTTGTATTTTTAGTAGAGACGGGGTTTCACTATGTTGGCTGTGCTGGTCTTGAACTCCTGACTTCATGATCCACCTACTTCTGCCTCCCAAATTATATTTTTCTTTAAAGTTTACATTCCCTCTATCTGAATAATCCTGCTGACTCCTAAATATATTTTAACATTTCCATGACACATATTTTTAAGAGAAGGTACTATCTCTACATCATGATATTGCAAATTAACAGCTCTATTTTTTAAAAAACTGGCAAACGACTTTTGTCTCAAACTTTGATTCCCAATCATACTGAAATATTAAATAACACTATTTGAGTTAGTAAAGTGCTATTTTGCCAAAGAGCTCAACCTGATCTTTTCTACTGACATTGTTTCTGTGAGGTAGGTAGGAACTTAGTGCTATGTACCATTGTTAGAGGAGATTAGGGGTCAATTCAAGGGTATACAACTTGTCAACAGTAAAACAGACATTGACAGACAACTTCTGTGGCTTTTCCCACACTGGTGTTTTTATCATTCAAAATAAGAGTCGCAGATTATGTGATTTATGTGACAATGGATTAACATTTTACTCTTATTTGGTTTTATCCAAAAATTTAGAAATTAAGATAAATTATTTTTAGTTTATAATATTACATTGCTTTCTTAAGAATTCTATCAGGCATTCTCATATGTTTATAAAACTAAAATATTGATAGTTCTAAATGTCACAAAAATATACTTTGTCTAAAAGAAAATGAACAAGAACAGAAACATCATGTTTCTTATTAAGAACACATGGTGTAACTCCCCGGCAATCAGGTAAGACAAAAAGTGACCTGAATTTGATTTCCAAAATTGAAGCACTTTATGCACATGTGCATTTAGAATTATTAAACAAATAACCATAGTTCAAAACACATTCATGTAAAACAAACAATATATCTTTCTACTTATTAAAACATTGTAGAAAGACTTCCAAAAATTTGATATTTGTTTATAAATATAGTAATTTAAAAATAACATATATCCACATAAGAAATATATGAATATATAATTTATTTTTATTATTTATTTTTATTTATTTATTTTGAGACAGGGCTCCATCACCCAGGCTGGAGTACAGTCACATAATCACAGCTCACTGTAGCCTCGACCTCCTGGCTCAAGCAATCTTCCCACCTTAGCCTCCTAAGTAGCTGGGACTACAGACACACACCACCGTGCCCAGCTAATTCTTGTATTTTTTGTAGAGATGGAGTTTCGTCACATTGCCCAAGTTTATGTAGTCAATTTAAATGTTATATAAATCTCTGTCTCTTTTTTTTTTTTTTTCAGAGACAAGATTTCACTCTGTTACCCAGGCTGGAGTGCAGTGGTGTAATCATAGCCCTCGAAATCCTGGGCTCAAGCTATCCTCCCACCTCAGCTTCCCTAGTAACTGGGACTACAAGTATGTGGCAACATGCCTAGCTAAGATTGATTGATTGATTGATTGATTGATTGATTGATTGAGATGAGGTCTAACTATGTTCCCAGGATGGACTTAAACTCCTGGCCTCAAGCAATCTTCCTGCCTCAGCCTCCCAAATGTTGGGATTACCAGTGTGAGCCACCATGCCCAGCCATTTTTTTTTTTTTATTTCTTAACATTGTCAGTTAGCAACCTCTAAATGTACAGGGTATGATTACCTAAATAACACGTATCAGAAAATAAGCATAAAATTATTTAATCATGAAAACATTTGTATGTATCTAAATGTTTCTCTTATGTTTCTAAAAAAACTGAAAAGCTTAAAAAAGAACTTTTAAACAGTATCTAATGTGGAAACTGTACAAAAAATAAGTTATTGATGAAATCCTATAACCAAACTCTTAGCCGGGAACATAGCAAAATAAACAGCTAAGCAACTTTGAAACTGCTACTTAAAAATTTTAAAACACAGAACAAAGCATTTTTTGAGTCCAGACATTAAAAAAAAAAAAACATAGTGTTTGCCTATATAATTTAGCTCTTTAACTGGATAAATATACTAACATTTCAAAATTTCTAGGCATATGTATCTTTAAATTTAATTGATTGCAAATTAGTTGACATTCAAAAGTTCAACTTAATAGCATTAAGTGCAGTCATCTAACTCCATGGAGCTTAACCATTTTGAAGAATATTCTTGGATCATCAAATCCATAAGTACCTACATCAAGTATATGTTAGTACCAAGCTAATGGGAGTTCATAATTTATAGTCTGGGACTTGATAAGCCAGGATTGGGGGTGGCATGATTCACTTGAGTGTCTTGAGACATATCCAAGCCCAGGGCAATAAACGGAAAATTATGAAGACAAGCTCAGGTAGAGTGCACAACAAAACCCAAGTTGATAGATCAGAAACTGGGCATGCAGATAAAAATAAAGACAGTATCAGCAGCCAAAGTCCAGAAACTCTAGAAAACAAGCCAAAAGGCACAAGAATTAATGAACAGCACCAAGAAGACTTTGATCATTGGGTCCATGGTCTTTCGAAGACAGAATGCTTGTTGATTACTACCTTCCTGATCCAGAATCAGTTTGCAGGTTAGTATATGCCCTGGGCTGACGGGGAAATAAAAAGCAAAGATCCAGACAACACAGACCTGTTACCTCATTGCTCCCTAAGAATGGTGTATGTGGTAGGAGGGTAAAAAGCTCTTTTCTTTTTTTTTTTTTTTTTTTCCTGAGGCGGAGTCTCGCTCTGTCGCCCGGGCTGGAGTGCAGTGGCCGGATCTCAGCTCACTGCAAGCTCTGCCTCCTGGGTTTACGCCATTCTCCTGCCTCAGCCTCACGAGTAGCTGGGACTACAGGTGCCAGCCACCTCGCCTGGCTAGATTTTTGTATTTTTTAGTAGAGACGGGGTTTCACCGTGTTAGCCAGGATGGTCTCGAACTCCTGACCTCGTGATCCGCCCATCTCGGCCTCCCAAAGTGCTGGGATTACAGGCTTGAGCCACCGCGCCCGGCCAAAAAGCTCTTTTCAAGATGAATTATGATTTCGGCAATCTTCCAAACTTATATGCTAGCACCAAGGCATGGAAAATATTTTCAATAATACCCAAATTTAAGAATATACTGTTGACAATCAAATACATGTGCATAGCCTTTCAGCGTCTATGTAGTTATAATTTTCACAATTACAGCTTCATTGAAATAAAGGAAAGAGAGGGAAATGTCAATGCCAAAATTCTAAACTCCAGAGTAACATCAATTAATGATGTAGTAAGTGAAGATAGTCCAGACTTTGTTTTAACAAAACCTTATCCCCCAAACACTCATGATACAACACACACACACAAAGAAAACCTGATCCAATTATCTTAGAAAACATATAAAATTGAAACATCATTTAAGGGCATCTAATATCAGAGCTGCTTCACAAACGAGTCCCATTGCTCTTGCCACTCTGATCTGAGAAGTTCAATTCAATGTGGTTGAAAGCAGGATTATCAGTTCCACCATCTTCCACTGGATGCGATTTATAGTTTAAAACATGCTTCTTCTAAAAGAAAATGTTAACATGGTGATTAGGGGAAAAAAATAAGCTCTTCATTCATGTAATTCTAAAAAATTGTTCCTACTATTTTGATTTCTCTACATCAGCTTTCTAATCTACTGAGAGAGAGAAATATAGAACGGGTATACTTCCTCAGAGGGTAGATACTCAACAGATACAAGTTATCAGAAGATAGATATAAAATGGCCCATCAGACAATAGATAAACAACAGATTTACGTTATCAGAGGATAGACAGATATACAGAGAGATATAACAGATACAGGTTATCAGCGGATAGACAGATATAGAGAGATATACAACAGACACAGGTTATCAGAGGATAGACAGATATTTGGAGAGATACAATAGATACAGATTATCAGAGGATAGACAGATTTAGAGAAATATACAACAGGTATAGCTCATCAGAGAATAGAGGGATATACAACAGTTATAGGTTATCAGAGGATAGAGAGATATACAACAGATGCAGATCATCAAAGGAAAGAGGATATACAACAGATATAGCTCATCGGAGGGTAGACAGATAAACAATAGGTATAGTGTATCAGAGGATATGGAGCTATAAAACAGATATAGATCATCATAGGATAGAGAGCTGTCCAACATATATAGATCAGATTATATAGGGTCTATACCTTTCTTGTCCATCACTTTTCAAGAAAGAGGCTGAGGACTAACTAGTGTTCTATCCAGGTAATAAAGCCCAGTTTCCTAACTCATGGTAAATGAAAGCCAACTCACTTTCTTAAAAATATCAAAATTGGATAAAAAGTCCTCTTTGGTTAGTACATATCTGGGGTCTAAGTTCTGTTTTCTTCCTCCTGGAAAAAAAAAAAAGTACATGACTTACGTTGTTAAAAAGGACACCAGTAACTACACAGAGACATTCCATTATACAGGCATTTAACTTGTACACATTCAGCTCCATACATTCATAAAACACAAAGAGAAAGGGAAACTTAAAAACGCTGATCACTTAGCCCACAATTCCCCTTCCCTTAGTCAGCCCTGGGTCTTGAAAGCCTCTCACTATAATAAATATGAGTCTTGTCATATATATATATATATAAAATACATATATATAAAATATATATATATATATATCTCACATATATGTATGTGAGATAGAGCAAAAAACGCAAGCCAATTGCTTCATCTGGTACTCAACTAGAGAAACAGTCATCTGGCCCAATGCTGGTAGGGAAACTGGTTTAAAAGCACCCTCCATGCCATCAGTAAAATATCAAACCATCTGCCTCTGCTTCAGACAGTGGAGCTGCTTTTCCCCCACTTTCGTGGCTACAAATATACATGTCTATGAAGAAATGCAGGAAAGTCTGAACTGCTGAATAAATTATTTAAATGAAAATCAGTATGCTGACTGATGTTTGATCCAAATCCTCTTCCTTAAGGTTTTCTTTACAAAAAAAAAAAAAAAAACTATTCTGCTTTGGTATTTTTTGCGGATCAAAGAGGATGCTTTTAAAAATTGTGTACCTCAAAGAGTGGTCCTCAAACTACCCTGACTCAAATCACTCAGAGAATGTACATAAAATGCAGATTCCCAGATTCTAGCCTGGACTGACCAAATTAGGACCTCTGCGGATAGGACCCCTGAAGCCTGATTTTTATAAAATTTCCAAGGGGATCCTTACGCCCTCTAAAGTTTAAGAACCACTACTTTAGTACAAATACTAGACTTTTAATTATGGGAACCTTTGCTGTTCTGGAGATAGAATCAATTTTAAATAAGTTCATGCAATGTTATTGAGTACCTGCTGTGTGCTGGAGATGCTGCTAGGTGCTAGAGAAACAGAGAAACAAAACAATCACTGTGCCCACAACTTGTGATCTCACTTAGGAAACGATTTGCCCCCATTTTCCTGATGAAAACATAGCCTTCTGCATAGTAAAAATCAGGGGAGTGCTGAAACGCCAACCAAGTCTGCAAGGCCTGAACTCTTACGGGAGTTTTAGTATACTACAATAGGTTTTAAAATCTGTTTCCCAAGGAACATCAAAATCGTGTGCTTCTCGACAGTTTTCAAGGTACTCACTGTTTCTGTGAAGTAGGAATAAGTTATTTGTGAAGTTAATGAAGTTGAAGTGTCTTTTATTACTGGACCCCAGTCACTGAGGTAGAGCATTACTTTTTGAAACAAAAGATATAGCTGTATATAGTTTTTCAGAATCAAAGCATTTAAAAGAAAAAAAAGGAGTACTCAAAGGAGGTACTCTGATACTCCACTTTCTTTTAAAAACTGAGCTAAATAAGGACCAAAGGGCAAATAGTACAGAGAGACTGGTTAGGTGTATTCCAGATCTGAAAAACTGAATGACTTCTGGGAAAAGATGAAAATCTGTCTTAAGACCGGGCATGGTGGCTCATGCCTGTAATCCCAACAATTTGGGAGACCAAGGTGGTTGGATCACCTGAGGTCAGGAGTTCGAGACCAGCCTGGTCAATATGGTGAAACTCCATCTCTACTAAAAATACAAAAATTAGCCGGGCATGGTGGTGCGCACCTGTAATCCCAGCTACTCGGGAAGCTGAGGCCAGAGAATCCCTTGAACACAGGAGGCAGAGTTTCCAGTGAGCCGAGATCGCACTACTGCACTCCAGCCTGGGCAAAAGAGTGAGACTCCATCTCAACAATAACAACAAAAAAATCTGTCTTAAAATATATCAAACTGGACCAAAAAATTAATAAACCTACCGTGCTGGGAATTTTATTTTTGAGAAAGAGCACAGTCCTTTTGGAAAAGAAAGAGAATATTTTCCAGCAACTGTTTGATAAATAATGGATAGCAACAAATTTTATAATTATAAATACAAGTGTCACAAAAGTTTGAGAGGCAGTGCTATCCCAGTACCAAAAAAAACATAAAATGACAGCAGGATTCTGTAAAGTGGCACAGTCCTGGCAACTTTGTAGCATGGAGCAAACAAAGACATGAGACATCCTTGAACACAGTGTACGATTTCTGACTAGTTGTAACACATGTTGAAGGAGGCAGTGCACCCTTCCCCTGGCATGGCTGCTATGGATGCGTATGTGTGAGGGGATGTAAGGAGTCAGGGAGCCCAGCACATTTCACCAACTCCACACTACCCCGGCCCCAGCACTGTGATCTCTCACCTGGGTTACTGCAATAGCCTCTTCCCTGCCCTCGTTCCCCTACAGACTATTCTCAAAACTGGATCAGAGCACTCCTTTGAGAATTATTGGAAAAGTAAGTGAAAAAATATCCCACATAGTAGACCTAAAAGACACAGAGATGAAAAATAAGAGAGGAAAAAAACGAGAAAATTAGAGGAACTGTCCATGATTCTGATTCAAATGTTTGACTAATAGGAGTTCCCAGAGAGAGAACACAGAAAATTATTTTAAAAAATAAAAAGGAAGAAAAGAAAAGAAAAAAGAAAATGTCCAGAACTGAAGAACATGGATCTTCAGATTGAACGAGCCTTACTGAAGGCCTAGGCCAAGGCAGTCATTGTGAAAATGGGACACACACAAAGTGTCAGCTGGTAGCATGGCACTGTCACAACAGCAACATAGCAAGCTAGAAAAAAATTCAGACATCCTCTCAGAAAAAAGAAAAGTTCTTTTCAACCCTGGGAATTTCTACTCAATCAATCAATCAAGCATAAGGTAGATTAAATAATTTTTTTCAGACACACAAAGTTTCCAAAACCTCTTCTTTTGTCTACTTATTCTTGAGAATATGCTACAGGATGTGTTCCATTCAATTAAGGGAGTAAATGAGAATGAGAAGTAATGAATATAGGCAGTAGAAAACCCAACACAGGAACAGGGCCCAAGAGAATTCACAGAATGAGGACAAAATGGAGTTCCAAGATAACAGTTCTATAGCAATCCCAGAGAGCAATTTATATACTATGTGTATCAAATTGATTTTTTAAAAATAAACATACTTTTTTAAAAAACGATAAACATCTGAAAAAAAAAGCCTCCACACTATGTTTAGATATAACCTGTCTATGCTTCCTTACAGTTTACAAAGAATGAATATGGGACAATGTAAAGATCATAGCATATTGGGTTATTGTAAAAATATGTGTAAAATACCTAACACTGAAGTTTTTTTCAAGCATCTTATTTTTGTCTTACAGCAACTTGTGAGATGGGCAGGTCAATTATTATTGTCCTCATTTTACACATAAGAAAGCTGAGGCTCAGTGTAGCTATGTGACTTGCCCAAGTTCATGCAGGCCCTAAAGGGCAGAACCAAGATTCAAATAGAAATGAGTCTTCTGCTTTCTAGTCTAAGCCTTCAGATTTCCCATGAGTAAAACAGAAGAAATAATTAAACTAGCTGTCAATAGGATCACAGTAAAATAACATAAAAAGCTATAAAACAGATACAGTAAAAACTGATATAGAGGTAAATACAACAATACTAATGTTTAGATAGTTACCTGTTGGTAAACTGACAAGTATCCCCACTAATAATGTTACCAACGTTCCAACAGTGCTGAAGTACAGATATGATAAAGAATACCAGTTATCCATCAGTGGAGTCCTAAGAGAGCAAAAGCACAACTGTAAGATTTCATGTAATGCCACTAGCAACTACCAGTATATACCAGTGATTCTCATGGCAAGGTCAAAATATAATATTCAATAATGTTTTTAATGTCATAACCTGCTGTCCTAATTTTATCGTATCAGGAATTGAAAGTGAAATTTCACTTTGACTATATACTAAAATACTTGAAGGCCATGTTTATTCATTCAATTCTGCATGATGTCCCAGGCACTGCTCTTGTGATTGGACAGTCAGCCATAAATAAGGCAGATAAACCATTTGACCCAGCAATCCCATTACTGGATATATAGCCAAAGGAAAATAAATGGTTCTACCAAAAAGACACATGCACTTATATGTTCATCACAGCACTATTCACAATAGCAAAGACATGGAATCAGCCTAGGTGCCCATCAATGGTGGACTGGACAAAGAAAATGTGGTACATTTCAACTTTGGTGAATCTGACAATTATGTGTCTTGGAGTTGCTCTTCTTGAGGACTATCTTTGTGACATTCTCTGTATTTCCTGAATTTGAATGTTGGCCTGCCTTGCTAGGTTGGGGAAGTTCTGGATAATATTCTGCAAAGTGTTTTCCAACGTGGTTCCATTCTCCCTGTCACTTTCAGGTACATCAATCAGATGTAGATTTGGTCTTTTAACATAGTCCTATATTTCTTAGAGGCTTTGCTCATTTCTTTTTACTCTTTTTTTTCTCTAAACTTCTCTTCTCGCTTCATTTCATTCATTTGATCTTCAATCACTGAAACCCTTTCTTGCAGTTGATCAAATCGGTTACTAAAGCTTGTGCATTTGTCACATAGTTCTCGTGCCATGCTTTTCAGCTCTATCAGGTCATTTAAGGACTTCTCTTCATTGGTTATTCTAGTTAGCCATTCATCTAATCTTTTTTCAAGGTTTTTAGCTTCTTTGCGATGGGTTCGAACTTCTTCCTTTAGTGCGGAGAAGTTTGATCATCTGAAGCCTTCTCTCAACTCGTCAAAGTCATTCTCCGTCCAGCTTTGTTTGTTAACAAGGATACCCAGGAATTGAACTCACCTCTGCACCAAGCAGACCCAATAGACATCTACAGAACTCTCCACCCCAAATCAACAGAAAATACATACTTCTCAGCACCACATTGCACTTATTCCAAAATTGACCACGTAGTTGGAAGTAAAGAACTCCGCAGCAAATGTAAAAGAACAGAAATTATAACAAACTGTCTCTCAGACCACAGTGCAATCAAACTAGAATTTAGGATTAAGAAATTCACTCAATGTAATCCCAGCACTTTGGGAGGCCAAGACGGGCGGATCACGAGGTCAGGAGATTGAGCCCATCCTGGCTTACATGGTGAAACCCCGTCTCTACTAAAAAATACAAAAAACTAGCCGGGTGAGGTGGCGGGCGCCTGTAGTCCCAGCTACTTGGGAGGCTGAGGCAGGAGAATGGCGTAAAACCCGGGAGGCGGAGCTTGCAGTGAGCTGAGATCCGGCCACTGCACTCCAGCCTGGGCAACAGAGCGAGACTCCATCTCAAACAAACAAAAAAAAAGAAACTCACTCAAAACTGCTCAACTACATGGAAACTGAACAACCTGCTCCTGAATGACTACTGGGTACATAACAAAATGAAGGCAGAAATAAAGATGTTCTTTGAAACCAATGAGAACAAAGATACAACATACCAGAATCTCTGGGACACATTTAAAGCAGTGTGTAGAGGGAAATTTTTAGCACTAAATGCCCACAAGAGAAAGCAGGAAAGATCTAAAATTGATACCCTAACATCACAATTAAAAGAACTACAGAAGCAAGAGCAAACACATTCAAAAGCTAGCAGAAGGCAAGAAATAACTAAGATCAGAGCAGAACTGAAGGAGATAGAGACACAAAAAACCCTTCAAAAAATCAATGAGTCCAAGGGCTGGTTTTTTGAAAAGATCAACAAAATTGATAGACCACTAACAAGACTAATAAAGAAGAAAAGAGAGAAGAATCAAATAGACGCAATAAAAAATGATAAAGGGGACATCACCACCGACCCCACAGAAATACAAACTACCATCAGAGAATACTATAAACACCTCTATGCAAATAAACTAGAAAATCTAGAAGAAATGGATAAATTCCTGGACACATACACTCTCCCAAGACTAAACCAGGAAGAAGTTGAATCCCTGAATAGACCAATAATAGGCTCTGAAATTGAGGCAATAATTAATAGCCTACCAACCAAAAAAAGTCCAGGCCAGATGGATTCACAGCCGAATTCTACCAGAAGTACAAGGAGCAGCTGGTACCATTCCTTCTGAGACTATTCCAATCAATAGAAAAAGAGGGAATCCTTCCTAACTCATTTTATGAGGCCAACATCATCCTGACACCAAAGCCTGGCAGAGACACAACAAAAAAAGAGAATTTTAGACCAATATCCCAATATCCCTGATGAACATCGATGCAAAAATCCTCAATAAAATACTGGCAAATCGAATCCAGCAGCACATCAAAAAGCTTATTCCACCATGATCAAGTGGGCTTCATCCCTGGGATGCAAGGCTGGTTCAACATATGTAAATCAATAAACATAATCCGGCATATAAACAGAACCAAAGACAAAAACAATGTGATTATCTCAATAGATGCAGTAAAGGCCTTTGACAAAATTCAACAGCCCTTCATGCTAAAAACTCTCAATAAATTCGGTATTGATGGAACATATCTCAAAATAATAACTCACAGCCAATATCATACTGAATGGGCAAAAATGGGAAGCATTCCCTTTGAAAACTGGCACAAGACAGGGATGCCTTCTCTCATCACTCCTATTCAATATAGTGTTGGAAGTTCTGGCCAGGGCAATCAGGCAGGAGAAAGAAATAAAGGGTATTCAATTAGGAAAAGAGGAAGTCAAATTGTCCCTGTTTGCAGATGACATGATTGTATATTTAGAAAACCCCATCGTCTCAGTCCAAAATCTCTTTAAGCTGATAAGCAACTTCAGCAAAGTCTCAGGATATAAAATCAGTGTGCAAAAATCACAAGCATTCTTATACACCAATAACAGACAGAGAGCCAAATCATGAGTGAACCCCCATTAACAATGGCTTCAAATAGAATAAAATACCTAGGAATCCAACTTACAAGGGATGTGAAGGATCCTTTCAAGGAGAACTACAAACCACTGCTCAGTGAAATAAAAGAGGACACAAACAAATGGAAGAACATTCTGTGCTCATGGATAGGAAGAATAAGTATCGTGAAAATGGACATACTACCCAAGGTAATTTATAGATTCAATGCCATCCCCATTAAGCTACCAATGACTTTCTTCACAGAATTGGGAAAAACTACTTTAAAGTTCATATGGAACCAAAAAAGAGCCTACATTGCCAAGACAATCCTAAGCCAAAAGAACAAAGCTGGAGGCATCACGCTACCTGACTTCAAACTATACTACAAGGCTACAGTAACCAAAACAGCATGGTACTGGTACCAAAACAGAGATATAGACCAATGGAACAGAACAGAGCCCTCAGAAATAATACCACACATCTACAACCATCTGATCTTTGACAAACCTGACAAAAACAAGAAATGGGGAAAGGATTCCCTATTTAATAAATGGTGCTGGGAAAACTGGCTAGTCATATGTAGAAAGTTGAAACTGGATCCCTTTCTTACACCTTATACAAAAATTAATTCAAGATGGATTAGAGACTTAAATGTTAGGCCTAAAACCATAAAAACCCTAGAAGAAAACCTAGGCAATACCATTCAGGACACAGGCGTGGGCAAGGACTTCATGTCTAAAACACCAAAAGCAATGGCAACAAAAGCCAAAATTGACAAATGGGATCTAATTAAACTAAAGAGCTTCTGCACAGAAAAAGAAACTACCATCAGAGTCAACAGGCAACCTATGGAATGGGAGAAAATTTTTGCAATCTACTCATCTGACAAAGGGCTAATATCCAGAATGTACAAAGAACTCAAACAAATTTAGAAGAAAAAAACAAACAACCCCATCAAAAAGTGGGCAAAGGATAGGAACAGACACTTCTCAAAAGAAGACATTTATGCAGCCAACAGACACATGAAAAAATGTTCATCATCACTCGCCATCAAAGAAATGCAAATCAAAGCCACAGTGAGATACCATCTCACACCAGTTAGAATGGTGATCATTAAAAAGTCAGGAAACAACAGGTGCTGGAGAGGATGTGGAGAAATAGGAACACTTTTACACTGTTGGTGGGACTGTAAACTACTTCAACTATTGTGGAAGACAGTGTGGTGATTCCTCAAGGATCTAGAACTAGAAATACCATTTGACCCAGCCATCCCATTACTGGGTATATACCCAAAGGATTATAAATTGTGCTGCTATAAAGACACATGCACACGTATGTTTACTGCGGCACTACTCACCATAGCAAAGACTTGGAAACAACCCAAATGTCCATCAATGGATTAAGAAAATGTGGCACATATACACCATGGAATACTATGCAGCCATAAAAAAGGATAAGTTCATGTCCTTTGTAGGGGCATGGATGAAGCTGGAAACCATCATTCTCAGCAAACTATCGCAAGAACAGAAAACCAAACACCACATGTTCTCACTCATAGGTGGGAACTGAACAATGAGAACATTTGGACACAGGAGGGGGAACATCACACACACGGGCCTGTCATAGGATGGGAGGACGGGGGAGGGATAGCATCAGGAGATATACCTGATGTAAATGACAAGTTAATGGGTGCAGCACACCAACATGGCACATGTATACATATGTAACAAACCTGCACATTGTGCACATGTACCCTAGAACTTAAAGTATAACAAAAACAAAAGAAAGGGTAACAAAATAAAAATAAATAAAAATTAAAGAAAAAAGAAAAAAAAAGAAAATGTGGTTCATATACACCATGGAATACCATGCCGCCATAAAAAAAGAACACAATCATGTCCTTTTCAGCAACATGGATGCAGCTGGAAGCCATTATCCTAAGCAAATTAATGCAGGCACAGAAAACCAAATACCACATGTTCTCACTTATAAGTAGGAGCTAAACATTGGGTACTTATGGACACAAAGAAGGGAACAATAGACACTGGGGATGACTAGAGGTTGAAGGGAGAGAGGCAAGAGTTTACCCCAGTAAGAAGGCTGCAGAAGTATCTAAATAAAAGCTGAAATTATTTTTTAAACATAAGGTAAATAAGATTCCTGCTCACATAAAGTGTATATTCTAATGGAGAGGTAAATACAATAAACAAATTAATAAATATAATAATTTCCACTAGTAGAAAGCACTGTAAGGAAAATAAAACAAAATGATTTGCTATTAACAGGATGGAGAGGGAGGAACTACCCTACAAGTGGTCAGAGAAAACCTTTGGGAATAAGTGACATTTGAACTGAGATCTGAGAAATGTTCTCAGATGTTCTTGAGGAAAGCATCTCAGAGACTAAACACAAGCTGACTGAGGCACAGTGAGAAGACAGTGTTTACAAGATGAAAGATAGGCAGGGGACTTTTTGTGGCACCGGACATGAGTTGGAATTTTACTCTACAGGCAATGGCACTCATTGCAATGTTTTAAGTGAAAGAGTAACATGAAAATTCTATGATCATTTCTACAATGATTGCTCTAGGATTCCACTTTCAGTTTTGACAGCTGCTTGATTCAGACCAATCATTCTGCTGAGAACAACATATAAAACCTGGGGCATGGGGAGGGAGGCAGGTTTTTGAAGATATCAGCGAGATCAAGACAATGAGAATTTGGCTGGGCGCGGTGGCTCACGCCTATAATCCCAGCACTTTGAGAGGCCAAGGCAGGTGGATAACCCGAGGTCAGGAGTTCGAGACCAGCCTGGCCAACATGGTGAAAACCCATCTCTACTAAAAATACAAAAATTGGCCAGGAGTCATGGTACATGCCTGTAATCTCAGCTACTTGGGAGGCTGAGGCACAAAAATCACTTGAACCCAGGAGGTGGAGGTTGCATTGAGCTAGAGCCTGGGCAACAGAACGAGACTCTGTCTCAAACAAAAACAAAAACAAAACAATGAGAACTTGAGGTGTCAAGAGCCCAGACAGAAGGGGAACACATTGAGGTGAGCTAATGAAATTAAGAGAGTGTGATATTGAGCCAAAGACAGACAAAATAGAACAGACTAAAGAATTGAGAAATAGATCCACAGAAAAATAGTTACTCGGTTAACATTGTTTTCATCACCAGCACATTCAGCGGGGCAAAAGGGGAGTCTTTTCAATAAGTTTGAATTCAGTTTGGTTAACCGAATGTCCACATGGGGAAGAATAATCTTGATCACACCACCCACAGAAATCAATTCCAAAGTGGATTACACTTCCCAAATGGAAATGGTTAACAATAAAGCTTTTAAATGAAAAATTAGTGGAATATCTTTATGATTGCAGGATAGACAACGATTTCTCAACAAGACACATAAAGGACTAACTATATAGGAAAAAACTGAGAAACAGATATCAATTAAAATTAAGAGATTTTGACTGACAAAAAAAAAATGTATCATTAAAAGAGTAAAAAGGCAACCCATGGAATGGGAGAAAAATATTTTCAAAACATATCTCATATCTAGAATACATCATGAACTCCTGTGTAAATAAGAAAAAGACAGAGAATCCATTTCAAATGTACTAAAAACTCCATTTCAAATGGACTAAGTAGCAAAAGTAGATATCCAAATGGCCAACAAACAAATGAAAATGCATTTGACTTCATTAATCATAAGCGAAACACAAATTAAAACCACAGCAAGCTACCAATGTAACCATCAAATATTGGAAACTTAAAAAAATCAATACTGAATCTAGGCAATCGAAACAATTTGTATCTAGGCAACCAAAGGATCACACATTCAACCTACAGCTGGGTGACTCACAACCCTTGTGCTCCAGCCATACGGAACTAGGATGATTTTTCTAAGATGCCCTGATCCTTCAGTCCTTCAAGCCTTTGCACCTGTCGTTTCTTCATTCTGTGACACATACTCCTCCCTCCGTGTGTCCTTGTGCTCAATCCCGCCACCCGACTAACTCCAGCCCGTGCAATTCTCCTCTAAGGTTTCCTTGACTCCAGTCAGGTAGACTTCCTCCTTCTGGCTCCCATGATACCCTGTGAATATTACTTACCACAATGCATGTTTTAATTTATTTTCTTTTCCAATCTCCCTTCTGGTGACAAGAATAACTTTCTAGATCTTCCCCTTCATCTAGCCAAACCTATGCATTCTTGAAGTAGTAGTACATCTCTGAAGTCTTAATGCTAACTTACACTCCAACTTTGTACTCACTCTTTTAACAAAAATGTATCAAGTATTTATTATTTACTATGTCCTAGTTTTCATACTTAGCATGCTCACTGAGTTTATTGTTTTGCACATTCCCTCCAGCTAGATTAGAATTTTCTGGAAGGCAGGAAACAGTGGCTGGGAGAGAAAGATTTTCTTCCATGGATACTAAATAAACGGTCAGCACAGTGCTGGGTACATAGTCCATGCTCAAAAATTCCTGTTTATTAAGCTGAAATATTTGGTAAGTAAACTAACATGTAAAACTGATTATTATGGTACCAGGCATAGAATAAACTTCAGCTAATTTATTTCTTCCAGGAATCCAAATAACCATTTTGCCTTAGACTCTTAAGGGCAAATATTTACATAATTAGGAAAATGCTAAGCAAAATGGTAAAACAAGAAGTACATCCTGTATGTCTTCTCACTTAACCTTCAATTAATCTTTTCTCCCTTTCTGACTGTAATGACTCTCCCAGTCCCCTCTCATTCGTGCTTTCATGCCTGTCCAGACTGCTCCCCACATGTCCTTGCCCCTCTCTACACTGCACCTCACCTAGTAAAACTTCCCTCAAATATGCCTCAGGCTCTGGAACTACCTTTTCACTGAACCATATAGGGCTTGCCTGCCTGGAACGCCCCTGGAAGTCCCACTGGCTAGCTTTCTCATAGCTGAATTCCTTCTGGAACACGAATTGCTAACAATGGCTATATGTATGATCATGTTCCTTCTCCCAGGACTGTGTCCATTTTAAGAGGGGTATGCTGTGTCTTAACCCCAAACGGATGACTCTATAATGATGTCATTCCAGATAAGCTGGCACTGGGGCAATATTTTGGGGGCAATGGCATCATCTTTGCATTCCTCGAACATATCCACAGGGTTTGTGCTTTAAGGCTGGACATTTATATATCCACTAAAGAAAGTCTTGCCCTCACATGCACTATACAGTAAAGCATGCCTCTCCCCACAGGTCTACATCATTACGTTAAATCAGACAACTTCAGCATCTAGAGGCTCCAAAGTGTACTGCATGACTGAAATCAAGCATGAAGATCACAGCTGCAAGCACTGCTAGTGCTTTAAAGATTTGGAATCTTCAACTGAACAAATGGCAATTATTTAACATGTTTAAATAATTGTAGCTTGTGGTCAGTAAAATCTATCCTTCAAAGACTACATAAGCAATATTTATTTATAATTGTGCTTTCCATTTTAAAAGTTTTTCCAAGACAACGATAATTCTTTGTGCCGCTAAGAGCTGGTGTTTAGGAGAGTTTACACATAATAGAATTTTCTCATTAATATTTAAGTTTTCTTACATCTGTAGATAAGGCAGAAATGTCTAGAAAAATTATGAAAATATGACATTTTTTGTTAAACTGCTGAAGAAAATAGTATAGCTAGCCACACGGGTTTTACTCATTCCAGAATTAGGCAAAGTCACAGTGTTGTAAGCAAGACAAAAAACAACTGGAGTTCTCTACTTGTTGCATACATTTTTAAAAGTATAATGTAATAAAACTTAATTCAATACCTTTGAACATTGTGTATTTGAAAAACACCAGTAGTAAAGGGCATTTCTGTGGTTGTCATCAAATTTGTCTCGTTGTATGTGCTGTTACAGCCTTGGATATCAAGCTGCAATGGCAACGTTCTCTCAGGAAGTGGAGGATACATTTGAGCTCCAATTCCAACCCATAGAGAAGTAGCAAATCCAGCCATCAGACCAACAAGTGCTCCCTGTAAAACAAGAATGCTTTTAAAAGAAAAATAATACAATTTGCTTTGATGTCAAAATTAACACTAGAAAGCCAAGTTCAACATGGCACAAAATTATAAAACCCACAAGGGCAGAAACATTCAGTGCTCTCTTCTCCCAAGACAGTCCTCAGCCCATAAAAATCTATTGAATAAATGAACAAGTGAATAAATGAATGAAAGGTAGTGAGGCAGGGAGGGAAAAAGGAGTGAGAAAGCCCACTTTGAAGGAAGGCAGATAATCTGCTAGTGAAAAACCTGGATATGGTTTAAAAAAAAAAAAGATACTGTTCATGGCAGGAGAAATAGTATGTTATTCTCCCATTACCACCCCCAGAAAAGGGCATGTTGGCTTAGTCAGCTACAGCTCTTCTGGAGGAAATGCATGCTGGCAACAAATGCCAAATATCAAAAGTTGATTTTTTAAATACACTTTTCTGATACTTAACAAACTAATGCATTTCATCATGCAAAGAGTCTAATCCAAGCTTCAACATTCTGAGGTGGACACAAACAAATCTCTTTCATTGTGATTAATTTCTACAAAAGTAGCTTTTCATATGACATTTCATTGAGGATAATAAATAATAACCACAATAGTCCTTATTAATATCTGCCTTACCAATTCCTAATGCCTTATAAGGAAAATAGAGTTCCAAATGTGAAGTCAGAGTTGAATGGCTATTCTATATCTGAAGCAACTGTACATACATTATCAGTTTTTCCTGAACTATATCTTATAGCAAGACTGAACCAGTGGACTTTCTTCTGGGTTTCAGAGAAATAATTTCTAGCTCATTTATTCCAAACAAACGTTAGCACTTCTAAGCACAGATATGTCTAGGTAGAAAGACAGAGATATTATGTCTTTCTGGAAAATATTCCCAATTATGATCATCCCTTTGGGGCTAAATCATGTTGTGGGAGCTACAGCTTTAAATGTCAGGAGTAGAAAATTCCTGGCCAAGGTGGTAAGATTGTGTTGCATCTCTTTGCTGTGCTATGGCTATTCACAGAAATCCTAAGTTTTACTGCCCTTAAATCACTCATATCTGAGCCTATTGATCTCTTTTAAATCCTAGCTATTAATTTTTGAGAAGGGCAAGTAGGTAAGTGCACAAAAAAATGTTGCTCCTTTAGTTATATTATGAATATTAAAAATTGCCCTATGTGGTTCTGGAAGTTTCCATTGAACTTCACACTTTTAGGGTCCCTATACGTAATACTTCCTTGTATACTCCACTAAAGTCAATAGAAATAATTTAAGTCATCAAGACAAGTAGCTAATGACAAATCTCAAAGGAACCATATCTTTACAACCGAGAAAACTGTGTAGAGCTGCTAGTATAGTTCAAAAAGTAATCCTCACACATATTCGTTCTTTGTACTTACAATTGAGTTGGCAAAGGGAACCAAAATGCCCAAAGCGAACAGGCCCATAAGTGGTCCACCAACCATACCAAATATGCTGAGTGCTGCCTACAAAAATAATACAACGTCAGCAATTAGCAATCTCAAATCCAAACTAAAATATTTCAAAGTCATTTAATCAGGATAATGATTTAAAGTATTCAGCCTCCTTCTGAAAATCATAGTTTTAGTCATGAAAGCCTTGTCACTGGAAAAGACGTCATTACAACTTACAAGTTTCTGCGTCTCAGTCTCAAGTATCCATCTGTTTCTACAGGTAGCCTCAAAAAAGGCCACACAACAGAAAGAAGATAAAGAGGCCTGAGACAATGGGAGTGCCTATATGAATGTATAAATCATGAATGATACCTCTCCTCTTAGCATTGCTCCTGCAGATGTTTATAAATCACAGCACTCCTTTGTGCTTTGATCATCTCAAAATCCTCTCAAAACTGTGGACAAGTACTACTATGTGACCAGAGAGGAGGATGAAACCCGTTGGCCATTCCTGATTTGGTTCCTTAAGGATGAAACTAGAATGATAAATATGATTTTTAAAAGACTGATCAAATCATATAGAAATAGATTTAAAATCTAATCAGATAACTGCAACCTCTGCTTTGATGTGGAGATACCAAATCCAGGATAGTGAAAAAGTTTTACAGTGCAAACATCGCATGAGGTAATGCCACTAAATGAAGCTTCCAAGAGATATATGATCCCAATAATCAAATGCCCAGTTTTTAAGAATGGACAGAACCATAAAAGAAGAGCAGGGAATCACTGGTTTGCCCAGAGAGGAGAGGGGTTTAATAGAACAGAATGAATGAATCAAAGAGAAAATATCATGTCAAGGAAATATTAGAGGAAATAGTGCTTGTTGTTATTGTTGCTATTGTTTTGAATAGGCCTACTTCATGAAAGAAGAAAAAGAGGTGGTACCAAGTAGAGTGGAGAACTAGTCTTTAAAATGATGCGGACTCAAGGATGTGATCCTGAGTCAGTTTACACAGAGTACAGTCAGAAGGGAGACAGACTCCACTGCAAGAGGTCATATGACCCACAAAGCAAGTTATGACTATGTGATCTGTGAGCAGTTTTGGAGACATAAGGAAGATACCCCAAAAAGATCTATAAGAGGAAAGAAGACCTTGGCTGGAGATGAAGCAAGGATGAACTGGCTTGGAGTTATGATGACTCTGCTAGAACATGTCATTGTATATAATCAGGCCATAGCTGATATATGGAAAAAGGGGAATCAACCACAATAAGAGCTCCAGGCACTATTGCAGACTATGAAGAAAGCACATTCTGTATGACTGGCTATGGTTTAGGAGTGCTGGACAGGCTTGGAGCTCTGGATCTAATTCATTCACTCATATAACCAGAGATGAGATCAAACTATTTTAACAGCTGGTATGCCCTAAGCAACAACCAACTAGAATGGCCCCAAGCCTTAGGACTGAAAAAGATCCTGGAGGACCCCCACTTTGCCAGTATTAACCTTTAAGTTTCTACGTCAACAGGAGGTCCGGGATCCCAGAGGAGCAGCCCAAGTGGCCAGGGAAATTTCAGGGAGCACTTGGGGTGATCAGATCATAGGATATTTATGAGTCTAACTACATTATTAGTTAACATTCGAGCTAAAGTTGTTAACATCTTGCTTTGTCCTGGGCACTGCAGTAGGCACCAGATATTTGATAGAGGGTTGGACAACAATGTCATCTTCCCCACCTTCGTGGATTATAGGCTATTCAGTAAAACAGACATTAGATAAATAACTGCAATAAAGTTTGACAAGAGATGATAAAGAAAGTACAAGGTGCTCCTGAAACATTTAGCAGAAGGGAATGCAAACGTATCCAGGTAACAGGAAAAGTCTCTTTAAATAAGTAAAGTGTTAAAATGAAAACTGAAGAATAACTAAGGCTTAGGCAGTGGATGAGGTAGAGAGGAAGGTGTTGCAGTCAGAGGAGAAGTCTATGCCAAGGCCCGTATGCTAAAGACAGTGAGGTGACCACAGGGTTCAGGAAGAAGACACTGTTCTAAAGATTGGTCTGTCCTCTCCAGGCCCACAGCTCCACAGGAGCAGGAGGGAGCTTTCCAACACAAAATGCTCTCTAATCAGAAGAGCAAATGCCACAGGAGGTGGAAGACCCTTCAGGTAAATAAACCAAAAAAAAAAAAATTTTCAATGAAGTGTTTCTACTTCTGAGAAGATAAACATACATTTCTCTATTCCTCCTGCTAATAAAATTAAAAATCCTGACATTTCATATAAAAAAAACATAAGACCACTCTGAAAGGTGGAAAGAAGGCAGCCCACTAGGGACCCTGGACCTGAAGAATGGTACAGTGTGAGTTCCCTGAATTTTCTTTTTGCTTCATGTATCCCAGCCTGAGAGTCAAAGAAGCCAGCTAGCCTCGAAATGGCAACAGACACAAGCAAAAAAATAAAATAAGATTAAAACCCCTCATAAAGGCCTATTCTCTCTCTAGTCACAGGGCCAGGAAAGGAGCAGCCTATGAAGATGGAAAACTCTTAGACCCCAACCACTTCATTCCACAGAATAATCTGTTCACCCCACCCACACCCATGCCAGCCTAGATTCCATACCCCCAGCCTGTCACGAGGCACCCTTTGCCTCCCTACTGGCAATGTCACAGGAGGCCTAGTGGAAAATCGGGACTTTCACCATGGCCCAGCAGTGACAAAGCCACCTCCTCCATGATGTCAGTGAATTCCACCCTGTTGTCCTCGGATGTTCTAGGTGGTCCTAGTTAACCAGCTTCCCAGGGAAGCCTCTCCCCTTGAGTTCGCTTTGCATCATCGTTGAGTCTTGTACACCGTCTGATGCCCATGCATTTTATTCTGGCAGTGCTAAGAGCACCAGAAGGATAGAAGGAGCAGGATGGTGTTGTGGGACAGATTTAGTCACCGGTCAGATGACTGACAGACCAGGAAGGTTTTCATCTAGAGACCATTCTCAGAGTTTGGAGGATCCTTCCTCCTTTCTTATACTTGTATTCAATCCAGGTCAATTACCAGGTGTTTTGTTCACAAAGAGAGATTAAACTATGCTTGTAAGGGTAACCTTTGATCTAAGGTTTGTGAAAGTTGCATTGTGCTGAGGTAACCTGGTCTCCTGGAAATCCGGTTGGAAATCCCCAACCGGACAGATAGGACTGACCCTGTGAGTTGCTTGAGTGGCCTTATGCCTATCATTAATCGTATAGCCATGATACATCTCATTGTACACCACACTCCACCCCTGACCCTGAGGGGGTCAATAATTGAGAGGCTGCCCGAGCTTGAAAGTGCACTCCATGGTCAGTCAAATCTTGAGAAACAGATCTTCTGTAGGACGGTGAGTAGGAGTCGGTGGCACCCTCAGAACAATCTGGAATTGAACTGTATCATCACAGAGAGTATAGAGTAGATCTAGTGTCCAGCTGAGCAGTCAGGGGAGTTCATGAGAATGGGGCTCAGCTGTGGCTTTGGGGCAGACTCACCAATGATGAGGGAAGAATGGAGGACAGGTAGCGACCAAGTCTGGACGGGAAGCAATGGATGTGTGGCAGGCCAGCGAAGGCGTGCCCAGCAGGCTGGAAGGTTGGCTGCTCAGTGGGTGGCCAAAATGTGGTGGAGGCTGTCAGTGACCTCAGTGCTGAGTAATCGGTGAATAGGTCTGGAGAAGCCACATTTGGATGTGGAAAGTCAGGCCACCCGGAGTAGCAGCAAAAGAACACGGGCACACTGGGGCTTGGAAACACGATTACATGAGCAGGCAAAAGGAGTTGAAGGGACTCAGTGGTAGCAGGCTTGGAGTTGCTTGATTGCAGAGCAATGACATGTGAAAATGGAACAGAAGGATAAAGAGGACACAGAACTAAGCAATTAGGTCTGGGGACATTGTGTGCTGAGGTGCTGTCAAAGATCCAAAATCATGATCTTGAACATGGCCTGATGAAGCCAAAGTTCAAGGTGTTGTCCATTCCAGATGGCTGCCAGGCAAAACTGGGGCACCAAATGTCTCTAGGAGGCACTGGCTGCAGAAACAGTGGTGGCCCAAGAGACACCTAGACAAATACACCAGTGAAACTCTTGCCAGGGAGGGATATAAGCAGGATGGGTGGGACAGTCTTTGGGTCATCCTGGGCACACGGCAGGAATGTTAGCAGTGAAGGCATCTTCCCAAAGGTGGAAGTTGATGCTCAGCCATCCAGATGGGTGGTGGGTCAGTGGATGGCATGGTTGGGCGACACTGATATTAAGGAGGGTTTGCGGGAATTCATGAGGCTTGCCAGACAGGAGCCAATTTGAAAGCACCCTTCAGCGTAACTGCCAGTAGAGGTCACTCTGCCCTTGGGAACAGCTGGACTGGGCCTCATCCAGTAGGTGATGGGTATGGAAAGGCCAGGGAGAGCAGAGCCCAGTGTGAGACCTCTGGCTGCAGGGTCCTGGGTGGTGGGTGGGGAGAAAGGTGCTGCTGTGAACACTGTTGGATGGTTCTGTCACAGCATTTTCCAGGGTGGTGAGGACCTACAGAGCTCAATTAACTTCAGGGACTGTGGCCATCAGGGCCAGGAGAGTTGGTTTGGCTTATGATGGGCTCTCCTTAAAAACATCTGTAAGGTATCTGGGTGCAAGGTGGCCTGTTCCAGGGTCTCCCAGTTGTGCCCCTGTTCCATGGGAGTGGCGGCTATGCAAACTCACTGGAGCATGCCTAAGCGCCATAGTAGCTCCCCTTCTTCCTCAGTGTACACCAGCCACCTTCAGCCCTTGATGAAAAGAGGTTCATGCTGGGGGTGAATAGCCCCCAGGCCTGAATAGCCACTGCAACGGAGTGCAGGGACAACTACGTCTACCTGCTCCACTCTGTGCCTGGATAAGCTCGACAGGGTCTTGAAATAAGGAAATGATCTTATTATCTTTAAAGATAGCCGCTGGCTGTTGTATTTGTATTTCTCAGCCTATGAGTTGCAAAGCACATCCTGTCAGGTACACACAGAACAGCCTGGTGGTGCCTTTCTCATTGGGTTCCTGCACCAGGTCTTTGAGGGGCTTT